TTTAGGTATAAATATAATTGCACTTTTGTGATTAGCCCTCGGTCTGTAACCTGCAAAATAAATTGTCAAATACGCAACTTTTTTGGGGTGGCAGCACGGTCGCGGGTGTTATGGCGCCGTTCAAATTTCGTAGCGTTGATGTGTAAATAATTATAACAATTAAATTAGGTATTTGGTAACAAATACGTGTGGGTATAGACGATTTGTTATACAGTAAGTACAGTTGTATGCAGTAAAATCCTAGAGGCTACTGTCCCTTTAATCATTCCTTCTGCACTGGCCTTCTCTGCTTGCTAACTAAGTATTAAGACCCCCACCCTAATATATAACTATAATCGTGACCTAAACCATAAACCAATCTTTTATTGACCGCTGCATGAGCGGCAATAACAAACATACACACATGTATGAATCAGTGCATCTGGATAGTGTTAATTCTATCCTTTCAGCGGACGAGACCGAAGCAAAGCACAAAGACACAATTTTACTCAACAGCAACTTTATTCACCCGAGCAGACTATTCCAAAACAGCAGTGCATTCTGGGAGAACAGGCTCACACTCAAACTGCATGCAGTGCCCTCTTTGTACAACTCAGGATACCACTGCCACAAGGCTAGCACTATTTTTAAAGTGGGCGGAGCTCCGGGGAAATCCAGCGAATATTGATTCGTAAACAGCGTATGATTTGAAAGAGCTAAATGGGCGCACAATCCGCGCACTATTTCTTATCACTATTTCATCAATTTTTTTATGAAATTATGGTCCGATTTTTATTTCCTTTGCAACTTTTATAAGTGCAAATCTAAATACATAGGATACGAGTAACGTGGCTGCTGTAAAACTTGTAGTAAAAAAGCGTTCGAATTTCTAACGGAAATCTACTTGTGGTTGTGGTGAATTGAGCCAGAGCGAGAGCGCCATCTGTCATGGAGTTTGGCTCACACAGACAACGTAGACAAGATAAAATCAGGAGTGGATAATCTCTATTATCCACTCCTGATAAAATAATAAAATGATTAAACACTATTAATCAACATCCCCCTTTCTAAGAGATTGTAAGCATATCTATAATATATCTTGACTCACGCAACATTTCGATCTTCAGAAAACTTTTCCCATAGTATCTGTTTTGCGCATTAATTAACATCGGATTAATCTGAAAGAACAATTCTAGAACGACTAATAATCATATTTCTATTCGTAGAAATGTACATAAAAAGCAACACACAACATCCAACAGTATCCAGTAAGAACTCGTGCAACAGTCTGTTACTAAACTTGACCAGCCTCTCAGGGTTCTCCCCAGGATGAAATTGAAACAGGGGGAGGGGGAGGGGAAACTAGGGGAGTCTGGAAGGCGTGTTTTTTACCGTAATGCGTAAAATCGCCACCACACCATAGACGGTATTTGGGGTACTTGTATATAAGACAGCCGAGTCGGTACAGTTTGTGTTAAGGTTTGGGACAGGGTTACTATTTGTACTTGTGTGTTGTCTGCAGTGCATGCGTAGTGTAGGACGTTTACTCATTAGTGGTACCGTAAAGATACACGTGTCCGTGGGCCTGGATCAATGGGAATTCTTGACGATCGATTCCCGCGCTGTCAAACTTTTATTGTGGTGGAATTTAATCGGGGCGGAGGTAATTTAAACGGGGCGCAACGATTGAAACGTGGGGGGAGTTTTCCCAAACGGGGCGGGCGCGCCCGGTTTGCGCAACGTAGGGAGAACCCTGCCTCTAATAAGTACTAACTAGTAATAACTTTCCGAGGTCACCACTGCCAACATTTAGGTTACATGATTTTTCAAGTACGCTGGTTTCTTAACCTCTCGCTTTGGTCTTGGCGCAACCTCTTGGTTTGGTAACACATTTGTATTATCTACGCGTGTTTCTGGGGGTTTACTAAGAGCACTGTCTTTGCGCCGTGTAGCTTCCTCAGCGATTGTATTTACACGCCGTGCTTGTTCCCTAGGGCTTACAGGAGGTAGATCACAATTAACTAGATCATGCTGTACATCAGGCCTTACAATCTCGCGTGTTTCCACACGGTTTCGAGACACATCGTGAATTCTTGGCGCGATCTTGGTTGGATGCATGTGTACACGATTGCGCCGGTAGATTCCTCCATCGGGTCATCATAACACATATGTCCTTGGCCCTATTCTCTTATCAATCTGATCTAATTTCCAATTTTTCCTTTTGGTGTGCTGGAAAAACACAGACTGTCCGACCTCTAATTCTGAGAGCGGTCTCGACTCTCGACTTACGGTCATAATGTCTTTTTACGACACATTTACCTGAATCACATTTCGGTTTTGCCACATCTGCTTCCTCTCGTTTCGCGGTCGCGATTTGTGGCAGGAAACCTCGAGTTTTCCTATTAAACAGCATCTCCTCATGACTTAGACCTGTGTCCTGGCGTGGAGTGTTCATTTGTTACAGTATGGCTTTGTACGGGTCTCTTCCATCCTTATGTCTCCTAATGCTTCATCAAACTTGCGCTGAAATATCTAACTCGAGACTTTCAGGCCAAATGGGAGCCTCGTCCAACGATACCTTCCACCTGGCGTAATCATTGTCGGGAGTTTACTTGATTCCTCGTCGAGTCGAACATGCCAGTAAGCTTCCCTCACGTCGAGCTTGCTGAAAACCTTTGCGTCCTTTAACTTTTGAAGTACATCATCCAGGACAGGTAATCTGTAATGTTCTATTTTGAGGGCAATATGCAGTGGTTGGGTGTCTATACAAATCCTTAACTTCCCATTGGCTTTATGGACCACTGCCATTTGACTGAACCAGTCGGTGGGCTCAGTTACAGGTACCTACACTATTTTGTCTACCAGTCTGTCTAGCTCACTCTTTACTGAGCCCTGAATGGCTAGGGGCACTTTCTTGCTTGGCAGTACCTTCGGAGGAACCGTGTCCTCTGTTCGCAGAATGGCCTCCCCTAGGTCGCCTAACTTTGGAGTTTTCACCTGCGATATGAAACGTTCCTCCTTCATGGTAACAAAACTAACTGCTTGAATAGTTGTCAGCCAGAGTAGTTTTGTTAAACCATTTGGGACTACAACGAACTTGACCTCTGACCCCATTCCCGACCTTGGATTTGTGACCGATAGGATGCACTTGCTCTGCAAATAGAGCAAACGATGACTCTAACGAGTTTAGCTACATGCAAAGAAACCTTGCTTACTGATCATGCACTTGATGACTATTCTGTAGTAGTATATTAAAGGTGGCACAACTTCATTACTAATGCGTAAATAAATTCATTGACCACTGCTTATATTTTGAATTTAAGAAGTCCACACATTTAAGTCGAATCTTATAATGTTCATGTTGTCTGAACAAACTCCTATATGATTATACTAATGAAATCATCAATAATGAATCGATATCAATTAAAGTTCTTCACCTATTGTCGTTTTGTTTGCTTTCGTTCTTGCAGATGTTTTGCAATGTAATTAACTTTCTGCACAGATAGTGACGAACTTCCCAGATGCCTTCGTCTCCTTATACCATTCCTAACACTGCAAGTGCTAGTACTAGTACTACTTGAAACCAAACGAACGAACAGCGTGAACGTTTGACATTCAAACGGTGGATTCGCGACCACTACGGGTGGTCGGATTCCCCGGACTCATGAGGTTAAGCCTCTAATGAGTAACAAAAACAAAAACAAACAAAAAACAAAAAAAGTGGACGCGACCACGTTTACTTTAACAGCAACGTGGGTCCCAGTAAGGCAACCAGCAACAAGAGAAGCAGTATAGCAAGCAGGGAAAAAAATAAAATTTATTTTTCGGGGGCTACTTTTCAAGCTCGCGTGCATGAAAATAGCATTTTAAAATTTCCGGGGGCTCTTTTTGGCATTTCGGGGGCTAAATCGCCCCGAGCCCCCGTGTATTTTTTTCACTGATAGCAAGTGCAGTGCAAAACAACCATTGTCGTACATTATCGTATATTATTTATCAATTGCAGAAGGACTTTGAAGCTATATTCAAGGAGTTTGATGAGCAGGCTGTGTTTTGCTATCTCCGAAGCTTTAGGAGAGCCAGGGTGAATTTCTCAAATTCAGAGACTACCAAAAAGGCTCGGGTACAGACACACGAAGTTGAAGTATGTGGAAAGAACGTCAAAGTCTATTTTGGCCAGGCAAGTATATTTACTGAACTGGATATTTTCTCTTGAGTCATAAATCATTTCTTTTTATAATGTTTCACAGCGCTGGAATTTCAGAACAGGCTCAGCATTTAAAAAAAAAATGAGCAAAAGAGGATATTAGAATATTTAATATAAAACTGCCATTAGATTAAAACTGTCACAATTTAATATCTAGTAAGTATCTAATGAAACCATAATAAAGTTTTAATATCTATATATGTAGATAAAATTCTTTATTTCTCAAAGACCGGTATGACTGTATTATCAAATTAGTATTCGATTAATGTAATTATCACCTATTCACGTCTCTCTATATATAGATTCTATATATATATATATATATATATCGTTGGTTTACGTAACAGTAATTTTGCACTGTGTGTGCTACTGAACGTATTCAAATCTGATAAAATTTACATGGTTGTTTTTCATGACTTGAATAATTATTATATAATGGCATGCTGTAGAGAGAGGTATCATACCTATGAATGCGGGCAGGATTGACTTAATTAGAAGGCTATACGTTAGTTAATTACTCGGTAGACATGTGATCCATAGCTTACATGTGTAAGTGTGCATGACAAATTTTTCCACTGTCCTCACATTTAACAAATAAACAACTAGGCCAAGATCAAAACAGTTCAATAATTTAGTAAAACGTGCCACATTGTGAACCAGTCATTCAATAAATCCGTGAACTAGGCAGTGGTGGCTTCATATGAAGAGATTCCCAGCGTTACAGGTACTCTGTATGTTGCTGCTGTGCTATGTGGCAGAACATGCACAATATAACACAAAAATAATGTTATTACAAACACAAGAAAAGATTTATTGAGAAAATGTGTATCTGTGAAATGTTATCAAATACTTGGACTGCCAGTTGCACCGTATTATTGTTAGTACAACTATAGCTTTAGTTCATGTAATTCAAATACAAGTAACTGTGCTGAATAGTTATTTTCGTTGAAAACCCATCTTCCTGATTATCTGCGGGGAAATGTGCGCATTGTCTTGCTCCATTCTTTCGGCACCAAATTCTATACAGCCTAAAATGAACCCTACGAAATACAGACCAGAGATTGCTATTAAATATTTCGTGACGATAACTGTATGATTATACAAGAACCAACTGCAGTTGATGTCAGACAATGTATTTTATGAAAAAGTTAATTCAAGAAAGAATGGGCTTCATCATACCCAGTTTGTAGAGAAGTTGTATCGTGTCACTACATGATCGGTAATGATGAATGTATTCTGTAAAATCTGTGTGGCCCTGGCGTTTTCATGAGATGAAAAGTATAAGCCATAAAGTATAGGTTCTTATCAGGATCAGCAGGATGCAGATAACAATGATATGGTCAGGAGCAAATAAAAACAATTTTTCTTCACGTCTGATGGTAGAAAGATAAAGTGATATATATTGTGAATACACATAATTTTATAAGTAGTTGAACATTTGCTTGCACATCTCTTGCACAGTCGTTGTTGCTATGAGCTGCGGACGATAGTCCTCAATTTTCAGTGCCCGATTTCCATTGATCTTGATGCTATTAAGCATATTGATTGATTGCTTACTTACTTACAACCCTATTGTAGCCTGTTTTTAGCCTCGGGAACCAACAAGGAGGCCACAGTCATTTGGAGCCACCACCTCTCGAGAAACAGTTTTTAATATCGCCTCCTACGTCACCTCCTGCAGGATGGGCACAATTTCACGAAGCAAGGCCTAAGATAGACATGGATTTAATCACTGCTTTGGTGAACTTAGTTCCAGGTGAGTTTATCTCACGAATTATGAACTCATAATAAGTTGCCAAAAGTTGGGAATTGATCTTATAGGATCTACCTCATCAAAAGCTCCTTAACAATATGATATGCAGTTGTAAAATTTCAAGAATTTATCCTACGCTGAGTATGAATTCCTTCAATGATGGACATATTTCTCTTTTCAATGCATACTTGACACAATATAAGCAACTTTTTTGTTTTTAGCACGTTTAAATGTCAAGATAAGGGAACCGAAGTTTCATTTTGTACCTGCATACAAGGTTTTGGATAGTTCTTAGAACCATACAAACATAATCTGGATGGCGCAATATAAATTTCATTTAACCTTACCAAAGCTGCGCTGATCTGTTTTTGCATGTGAATAGATAATACTCACGGGTCAAACATACACACCTGTAGCTACACGATAAAACCCCCTAACAATACCAGTTCAAGCGTCTGCCCAATTGGTGTGATTCTCTCTCTATACAACGTGTGCGTAGAAATAATTCATGAATCAGGGTAATTTTAAGGGGTATCGAACGACCTTATTGGATTTGTAAGCTTACATTGTTACATTTGGGCAATTTGCGTACCAATTCTAGCGTAAAAGTAGATGGATGATTTGGCTGTGTTCGTCTGTGTGGGGACCAAAATGTTTTATGTGTTGTATGTTGCTAAAACTTATTTTTAATGATACACTCAAGCTTTAGTGCAACATTTTATCAATTTTGTATTCTTTGTACCTAGATATATTCCCATACATAAGTATGCTCAGTCACTCTCTCTCTCTCTCCTCTCTCTCTCTCTCTCTCTCTTTCTTTCTCTTTCTCTTTCTCTCTCTCTCTGTATCTTTCTCCCTCTCCACCTCTTTCAAGTACGCTCTCTTTCTGTCTCTCTAACTCTCAGGTATGGTCTCTCCCTCCCACACACTTCCTCTTCTTCTCCCTCT